GCTATTTCACTTCTCAGAAGTAACTCTGACAAATACTAGGGCAGTGAGGAAAATGAAAATATGCTGTAAATGTTTAAATGTTTCAGGGATACTTAAAATTTTTTACTTGCACAGCTTATACTTATTTCTGCAGTGATGCGGGAACTTAGCCTGAGCATTAGGAAAGCTGCCTCTGTCTCACATTGCCCTACATGAGCCAAGAAATGTGGGCTTCTCCTGCCTTTGGAAAGGGCTTTGCAAAATTCAGCAATGTGCTAGACTAGGAAGCTGCTTCTGTTGTCACATCAAATATTATTTTCACTATGTCTGGGCCTGCATGAAACATACTGGGACACTTTTTTTTTAAAAAGTGCCTACAACAGTAAAACCTTCATCACAAAGCTAAAGCTCACAGCGTTATACCCTAGTTCTTAATCCAAAGATAGGAATGGTGATATTGCGTTAAGGACATGCTTCCTAAACTCCAGAGAGTATCAAATCACCTGGAGGTTTGGTTAGGTCAAAGATTTTCAAAGAGAGGCGAGGCTGAGGAAACTATGTTACTCAAAAACTCTAGTCTAGATGATGCTGACGGTACAAGTGCTTGCGCCAAGTTTTGCACTGCACTGATCCCAAACAAAGCTTCTCAAATGCTACTAGACAACCGCCTGATGACACCATCCAAAAGCAGACTCTGCTTCAGATGTCTGAAGCTCTTGTTCAGAGGTTACTTCCTGAGTAGCAAGGGCATAAGTTTCTGCCACTGGAAGTAGGAGAGGTAACTTTATGTGGGTTATTGTCCACAGAAAGTTGCCCATTCAGTAGTTTGCTGAGTAAAGGATAAAAACATTAAGTTTTAGGCCTTTTTCTCTCTCTTTTAACACAGAGACACAAAACAGGAAATATATCCCCGAATCAATGATAAACTAGGAAATTAACGTCAATCAGTTCAATCTCTTTCCTTGTGTCTATGCAATGAACGATTTGTAGACTCTAGAAGACGTAAGATCTACCTTAAATAACTATACCCCAAATATGTCCAGAATGGAATCAGAAGGCCCACATGATTCAGAAATAATGAATACTTTCTCTTAGGCGATTTCCTTAGTTTACTGTGAATCTGCATGCTTTGCTTTGGAATGAGTGAAAGCCATTTTGCGGAAAAAGGATTGGCAACAGAAGATTCTCAGATGGTAAGACCATGCAGTAAATTCAATCCTACCTTTATTCTGGGAGCATCACAGGCATAAGAACTATGACATTTTAATTTAAGTACTTTTTAGAATCATTACTTTTATCTACTATTATTGGTTGGTATCATTACTATCAAACTCAAGATTATGAATTTTTGACCATGAAAGAAAACATACACATACATTCTTGCACTAAGGAAGGCCATCATTCATTCATTTGTATGCATTAATTCTTTCACTGATTAAATATTGAGTGCCTCTTCAATATTCTGGCTATGCTGGAACATTCTAGCAACTGGAGCTTGAGGACATAATCAATGTCAAATGTCTAAGTTCTTCTTTGCTTTACTACCAGGACTCGCTGCTGTATTATTTTGGACCTATACTTGTGCAGCTGTTCCACCTATAAAGTAGAGCTCATACTCTCCCTTCCTTTTGGCTTTTTCCCTATTTTTCTGTGGACTCTTTGTTAGAAAGTAAAATCACTGGTGCAAATACATGCTAGCACTCACAGAAATGCCCTTTATAACACATGCCTATGGTCTGTATATGTCATTTCAGAGGGGCAAGGACAAACTGTCCTTTCATTTTCTTCACCAGGCTCCTATCACTGCATCTGTCCATCATCACACAAATGAAAGCAGCACTAAGACAGGTGTCCCTTCACCTCCCTAGAGAATCTGGCTGGACTGATACCAAATGACACCTTGCGCCACTTCAGGGGAAAGGCACATCCTCCCTGCCGTTCTGTGACCAGACTGTGTAGCAGAGAGAATAAGTGTAAAGGACATCTTTCTGCTTCATATAATTGAACACTTACCCCCTCACCCCCACATCCTTCCATATACCTGTATTTCTTCAAGCTCACTTCTTAATGTTTGCTTTGGCTTCTCAGCTACATTTTTTAAAGGATTATTTCTTATTTTTCCTTCAAATTGGCTGTATACAATTAGCTGGAAATAAAATTACCAAAGAAATGTGAAACACACTTGGGAAACACTGAAAGTTGAACAGGAGAAATAATGTTAGAAGACAACTTGTGTTCATTATAAAAGAGAGATTACCTCTCAGGGTAAGAAAGGAGAATAGCAATCTCTTCATTTATTTCTTAAACCTCATAACTTGGAGAATATTAAACAGATTTATTTTCTGTACCCTTAATACCTTACTCTTTCATTAAATAAAATTCTGATGAAGAGAGGGCAATAAATTAACCAAAATAACAAAGCAGGTATTCTAACTCTGATAACAAATTTGGAGGTTAATAGTTTATAAGCCCTTAATTTCAAGATTTACTTACATACTTACAACTTGACAAGGTTAAGAAAAGAAGAGATAAAGCTGAAGTTCTTAACATCAGAATAACTGACTTAAAGGACAAGAGGCACAGTTACATGGTGAAGAGGTTGGGAGTGATCTGTCAGACACATTAGCAGACCGCCTAGTGATGACACTTAACTGGGAAATGTGTGGCCTGGCACGGCCTAGACTGTAGTCGACTAGTTAAGAGTTTCATTCGTTCAGCAGTGCACTGCTGCCTTTCTTTTTCCCTTTCATGCATCTATTGACACGTGTCTGGCATTCGCACTCATTTAACAAATTATTTATTGAGCATCTTCTTATTGCCTGACACTATACTATGCTTTTAAAAACTGCCTTCTGGGGCTGGGGATTTAGCTCAGTGGCATAAGCGCCTGCCTTGCAAGCAGGCGGTTGTGAGTTCGATCCCTGGTACCGATAAAAAGGAAAAAGACAAAAAACAAACAAACAAACAAACAAAAAACAACAAAAAAACCAAAACAACAACAACAACAAAAAACCTCCTTCCTCCATTGGGGAAAGGTAGAAATAAAAAAGTTAGCAAAATTAATTACTATAGCTGTAAGTATTAACAAGAGAAAAAAAATGTTAGGAGTACGACGACGGCTCAGTGGTATAGTGCTTGCTTATCAAGGATAAAGCCCAGGTTCAATCGTTAATAACATAAAAAATTAAAAATAAAATTTAAAAGCCTGAAGTGTTAAAACAGTGATTAACGATGGAGATCTCTTTGGAATTCTGACACAAAGAATATTCTGCTCACATGACTCATCTGAAGGAATATTAATTAAGGAAGAGAGTACCCACAGAAGTACAGACAGAGTTGAAAGCAGTAACAAGGGATGTTAGGGCATTCAGAGAGAAGTAATAACAGGAAGCAGAAATCAAGGGGCAAAGAGAAGAAATGGTATTGCCGAGCCCAGTAAGAGCTGGGGCTATGGAGATAAGGTCCACCTGGAAAGACTTCTAATTATAGAAGCAAGCATCCATGGTCCATGATAAAATTAGGAAGGGAAGTGGAAGGGATAAAATTAAGAAGGGAAGTGGAGAAGACATTACTCCAATTGTCTCCTCACCAGCTTCCAATCTCCTGATTGTACTATTTTTCAGAACCTGACTGCAAGCTGCCTGGAAAGACTGCCTTGATGGTACAGTCCATACGGTTGAGCTTCGGTCCTGAAAATGCATGGGGAGGGGTGGTCCTTAGAAAAGACTGCAAAAATCTCTCTGTAGAGATTTTTTGCCAGTAGAGACAGTAAAACTAAAATTCATAGAGGTGTCATCCACGCAAAGAGCTACTGGAAGAACAACCGAGAAGGAGGAGGAGTGAACATGTGTCTTTGCATTCCCCGTTCTCTGTAGCTCAGGTTCAATATACAAACCTCATAGAACCTTTGGTAAGTACAGATCTAACTGTAACTGCAGTCAAAGACAGCATCTTCCTAGGTGGGATGTCTCTCTATTCAATTTTCTTGGCATAGAAGAATTTGCTCATAAAAATAATGCTCATAATTGGGATACTTCTCTAAGAAAGGCCCGGTACTGCTGTTAAGTCTAAAGTATACAAATAATCAAGGAAATGCATATTAATAATTCTGATTTACACAGCTTCTTTTTGCAACGATTAGGTTTTCTGTGCTTTGAGTATCCTCAATATTGTACAACTTAAAGAAAAATGTGTTTTTGTACTATTTGCTCCTTTAAATGAAGAGAAGCTGTAAAGTTAAATTACAATGTAATAATAGTATGTACCCATAATTTGAACTCAACTAATTTTCTTTTAGTTTTATATTTGTCTTTAAATTAACATATGTATAAAATGTTTATTTCAAGTCCACTAATAAAAATATCTATAAACAGATTATTTCTATCACCTAGAAGGCATTTCTTTATGTAGTCAAAGTAAGACTTTCAATATTAATAAGACCACTATTTGAATTAAATGATCTGATGTTGAAAAGCCAGATTCAAATTCACCGTGAGCTAGTCAAGTTATTTACAGTAAGCTTGGCCTCAAATGATGCAGTATTTCTAGCTGAGGCCAGGAAGAGTAACTAATTTCCTTCCTGCTAATGCCTAATATTTTATGATGCATTTACCAATGTAAAACACAATGCATTCCAAGGACAAATTCTAGGCTAATAATGAAAAGTTCCCAGCATACTAATGAGACTCACCATCTCCCACATTCAAAGTTAACTACTATTTTCTTAAAGAGTTTAAGGAACTTCCATTATCCAACTATATTAGACCTAAATTTCCCTAGTGCCTGTTTAATTTATTTCCTCTTGTTTTGTCTCTGAAGAATATGGAAACAGATGGTAATTCTTCTTAATTTATGACTGTTGGCAAGTCAATAAAAAGAGCTGACAAAAACAGTAAGTTCTAGTGTATCATCACCTGCAGAAGAGGCCGCTGCACTCCCAGCACTTTCATGGTGTCTGCATTAGCTAGGATCTTCAAGGGGTCAGACGTTTTAGTGACTCCTTCAATCTCCTTGTTGATTTCTGCCAAGACCTGATTGAGGAAGATGTTTTTGATGTATACAGTGAGAAACTCTCGAAGAGGACACTGCTTGGCTGGGCCAAGTCCCATGGCATGCTCAATCTCTTGAATAAACCTGGAAGACAAACAGAGCAAAAAGTTTGTTAAGCTTATCAGAAAATAGTTACAGGACTAAGGCAGCACAGCTTGGGTTTTTCTAAGGTGAGAACAGATCAATACTCTATTACTCATCTATACAGGACTTTAGATTGTCTTTAAAACATAACCTATTTCATTTATTAAATAGATGTAAGATCAAACAGAAAAACATGACTTCTAAACCGGTGGGAAAGGAGAGACAAAGATACTTTTATTAATACAAGAAGGAAGGAAGAATATAACAGGCAAAGGAAAAGTATATGATAAAAAAACAAAATTGTGGTGCAAATTAAAGAGCACTCCCACAAACAATACATATGTATTGAAACTTTCATAGTATACATAAAGATATTGAGCGAAAGAAAGAGAACGAGAAAGAAAGATAAAGAAAATTTTAAATTCATGATGCATGTATTTTCAGGTTAAGAAAGACAATGAGACAGGAGCTGAAAGACAAAGGAAAATGTCAACTTCATTGTGACATTACTTTGCATCACAATGTGTAGTGTTTTATTTCCTTTACTAAAACATGTAAAGTATACATAACAATGCTACTAGCTGTCAAATCTCAGAGATAACTATGTAAATTTTTACATTACTCTTTGTACTTTTCTATAGAGCTAGCTAATGCTGCCTCTGGTTTGATATGCATGAATTTTACTGCAGTGTAGTTACACAAATCAATCTCCATCTCCCAGGACATGGATTACATTTCACAGTATCATAACTGAGTTATCATAGTTTATTAACTGTAAGTAAATGCATAAAGTACCAACTATAGTGATAGTGCTTCAGAATCTTCATGTGGATAACTCATGTGTAACATGATTTGACATGTACACGAAACAGTGTGTATAGTTATGTTATTTCATCTCCCAGTGATAAGCCCATATGACATTTTATTAAGACCTATGGGTGAAGGAGGGAATTGGCCAACAAAGATAAAGTACAGCAAGAAAACTAAAAGCGATAACAGTATGTTAAGTCTGACTTGAATGCAAAGTTTAGGGGAAATGGTGATTGTGGGAATTTTGACACATTTGTCACTGGAAACATGTATGTAGCCACAGAAAAGGCAAACTCAACACAAGTAAGGACGATGGCTGTGACAAGAGAGGAAGATGAAGAGGGATGGGATGCCAGAGGAAGTGATGACGACCAAAGACTTCATATTTAAGGAATCATTAAAGATACTTTACAGTAATCAAAAACAAGGCCTAAAATGCTGGTAGTCGATCCAAATGTAGAAGAAATATGATAGTTGGCTGAGGCATAGAAAAGATGCTTGTGGTGTAACACAAAGTATACAAGATGAAGGCACTGAGCACTCTTCAAACTACTATTTACTACTAAAAAGAAGTAAAACACTTCAATTGTTTGTAATATTACTATGTACTAAATGAACACTAATTTCTTATTTTTCATTTTCATATATATTTATTAATGACAGTAAGGGCTTTAAATATTGTTGGTGTGGTGGTGCATCCCTCCATAGCGCTCAGGAGGTTGAGACAGGATCACAATGAGTTTGAGGCTAGCCTGGTCCCACAGAGACCCTTTTTCAAAAAAACTTCCAAAAAACCCAACCAATGAACAAACAAATAAACTCCACCACCACCAGCAACAAGAACATCAACAAAAGTTTTTAACATTTTAATGAAAATTATTAAAAGTCATGAAACAACTGTGATTGTTAAGATCACTTTGCATGGTTTTAGACTGCATGGTGATTTTTACATTTCCACAATGCGATATAAAGCAAGTGCTACTTGTCTTGGTTACTTTTCTCTAGTTGCTGAGACAAAATACTCAATGCTCAAAACTCAGGAAAGGTTTATTTAGCTTGTTTGTAGAGGCTTTAGTCAATAATCAGCTGGGTCCAAGCCAGGGTGGCATGCCACAGGGGCAACAGTTCACAACTGCAGAAAACCATCCAAAGCAACAAGAGCAAAAAGGGAGGAGCACAGAGCAGACTCTTTCTGTCCCTTATACTGTATGTAGGTTACCCATCCTAGGCTGGGTGTAGTGCTCTCACCCATAATCCCAGCATTGGATCATGAATCAATCACAAGTCCTAGAAGCCTGCCCCTATAACTCTATGAGACTTTGGGGGGAAATCAAGACACAAACCATAACACTACTTTTAAAGCTTTCTCAAAAAACAGAATGAGCAAAATAGTGAAATAAAATAAAGACAAAAGATGAATAGCTGAGATTTTTTCCCCTCAATTTACATTGCAGATGATTGCTAGAAACCAGTAAAAAAGTGATCAAAGAACATGAAAATATAATTTACAGTAAAAGAAATACAATAGTTATTACACATAGGAAAAAATTCTGGAATTCATTCATAATAAGAAAAATGCAAACTAGATTTCCATACAACTGACCAAATTCCAAAAGTTTGAAAACATACTCTGATGGCATAAATATGAGAAAAGAGGTATAGGAAGAGCAAGTTAGTACTATCACTCAGAATTACTAATGCATTTTCTTTAGACCCAGGAATACCGATTCTGGGAAATTCTTCTGATACTTTATGTGAATAAGGATGAGATGATCCATACACAGAGTAAACAGATTATTTTAGCATTGTTTTTATGGCATAAGATTAGATACAGATCAATATGTATTTAGTAAAATTTAATATAAAACTTTTGCATAAAATTATATATTCTAATTTGTTTACTTTAACATAAAGATAACCAAGGAAAGCTTGCAAAAAACTAATTAAGTACCTGTAGGAGGCATGGGCAGGTTTGAATACTTAAGGAGGAAGAGTGGGAATGAGATTTTTCATTTATAGTGCAAGTTTTCATAATCAATTGATTGTTAAAACTTGTGCATGTATTATTAGCTACTCGGATTAAATTAAATTAAATTAGAAAATTTTAAAATTAACCTTATACATGCAAAGACTATATTTCATAAATTCTTTTCCAATTAGCTCACATTTAAAGTTTGATATATAATTCCTAAGATTTATATGCTTAATTTAATAGTGTCTTTTACTTAATAAATCAACATTTTACAGAAAAATCTTCTATATCACCAGTTAAATATTGCACTAATTTCTGGTGTATGTGTGTATGTGGCAGAAGGGAAAGGAGGTGGAACAGTGGAATACACATAGAATTATCACAATGAAAAAAGTAACCTAAGAAAGTCAAGAACGAAAAAGAAAAAGGCAAGACAAACAATAAGGGTTCTTGACTGATGTTACCTAAAGGAAGAAGAAGTAAAAGCTTGATCATGAATCTTTAAGGAAAGGGTAAATGGAAGAAGGCAGGAAAAAAAAAAATGAAGACGTAAAAGCAGACACTTACACCAGGCTGTAACTTTAAGATCTCCAAATACTACTTTCTACCATGAGCACCCTTTGATCTCATCTACCATCTATGGAAATCCACCATCTAGGTGCATTCTGTCTCCATCATTCTTCTACAGAAAGCTGGTGTTGCTAATTTGTTAATAAGCAAATCCATCAAAACGTTTTTATTATTTTTAATGAAAGTGAAAGTCATCAGGATACTTAACTATTTTCTTCAAAGATTTTCAGAAAGTTTTCTGAGCATAAGTCTTTCTTACATTTAAAAACTCTTTAGCATTTACTACAACAAAATCTTTACTACTCAACTTGCTTCTAAATACAGTGACAGAAGTCTCCAAATCACTCATATTTTCCTTTTTTCTAGTTTCATATTTGTCTTTAGTCTCTTTAAAATATGAAAGAACTCCAAGCAGCAGTGGCAGAGGGGCCCCCTTCACTTTCAAACTGAGTGCTTTCTTTCAAATACAAATCATTTATTCCCTAAAGCACACACATCAGTCTCCAATGACACATCCAGGTTGATATTGTCATCTGTGACTCGAGGGGAACTATTCAACATATTTCCAAATCTGCTTTAAGAGCTGCAAGAGTCCTCACTGTGTAGAAAGCATGAAACATGTGGGTAAGAATGAAAGAGAAAAATGAGGGCTGTCTTAACAGCCCTTTGTTAGTAAAACAAATGGTAGCGCTGTTGTTATTAGATTTGGAGTAGAAGGAGGGTGGCAAGGAGATACTGGTCAAAGTATTTACAAAATTTCAGCCAGAAAGAATACATCCAAGAGATCTATGTACAACATGGCGACTCTACCTGATAACAATGTTTTGTATATTTACCAATTACTCATGGTGTATATTTTAAGTATTTGCATGACAAAAATTCATGAATAACTATGCACACTGATGAACTCAATTTAACCATTCCACAATGCATATGTTTCAAAAACATCAGTCTGTCTACCATAAATATATAAAATTTTGTCAATTAAAAATAAAAAAAATTTAAATCACTTAAAAACATAAAATGGGCAGAATTGCCCTCTCGTGAGCAGCAAGGATTCACACAAAAATAACTTCCCTAGCTATCCAGGAGGTGAATCTTACTCACTGTCACTGTGTGAGAAGAAATGACTTGAATTCAAAGCAGTTATTTCACCTGAAATGTATCATCTTGAGCAGGTAATTTACTCAATCGTACTTTTTGTATTTGTAAAATAATATGATAACATTCACTAACTACTTCACACTGCTCTGATGATTAAATGAGGAAAAAACAAAGTACTCAGAACAAAGAATGACACACAGTAACTACTAAAGAAATGGAAACTGCTATTTTTATTTATTACTATCATGTAAACTCTGGTGAAGTTAAAGAATCAAACACAGTGAGACATAGTTTGTGATATTCTTCACCTTGCTCCTTTACTTTCCCGTACAGGCATCCATAAGCACAATTCGGACATTAATACACTGCATTCTCAGTAAATAGATCTCAGACTGACCAAATCTCCTCAGGCGAGAGGCCAAATGAAATTGCTCCTTGCAGTATATCCTCAGTGCCTATTAGTGCTCTACAGCTGGCACGTAACAGATTCTCAGCAAACAATTGTTGACTCAAGCAAAGTAACATTTTTTTATCTCAGCTAACA